GGGGCCAAAGGGTCACCATCCTAACTCACTGTTTAGGAAGCAAACTGAGCCCCAGAAAGGTTACAGAGGCAGTAAGTGCTAGAGCTCAGACTCAAACCACGGTGTTAAAAAATAAAACTTAAAATTTTAAATAACGTTAGACTATGGAAAAGTTACAAAAATAGTGCAGAGAGTTTATGTCTAACCTTCACCCAGCTTTCCCTAATGTTAATAATTACCCAGCCATAGTTAAATGATCAAAACCAGAAAATTAACTTAATTCACGCTAGTACAATACTATTAAATTACAACCCTAATTTGAATTTTATGAGTTTTCTCCCTTGTGTCTTTTTTTTTTTCTGTTGGATCTGATTCAGAATCCCATATTGCATTTAGGTACCACTTGTCAGTCTTCTCCAATCTGAGAGATTGTCTCACACTCTGCCTTCCAAAACCCTGACCCTTTTGAAGAGTCAGGGTCAGCACTTTGGGAGGCTGGGGTGGGTGGATCACCTGAGGTCAGGAGTTCAAGACCAGCCTGACCAACATGGTGAAACCCCATCTCTATTAAAAATACAAAACAATTAGCCAGGCATGGTGGCGCATGCCTGTAATCACAGCTACTCCGGAGGCTGAGGTAGAAGAATCACTTGAACCCAGGAGGCAGAGATTGTAGTGAGGCAAGATGGTGCCACTGCACACCAGCCTGGGTGATGGAGTGAGACTCTGTCTCAAAAAAAAAAAAAAAAAAAAAAATGGCATCTGTCAGGTCTCTCCACTGTAAACCTACTATGTTTTCCTTTGTGATTGATAGATACTTTGGAGGAGATACACTGAGCCTATGCCAATATTCTGTTTTACCTCAAACTTTCACCCAATGATTTTAGACTACCAGTAGATTTTGCCTGCAACAATTATTATTGTGTTGTCTACTGAACAATGACTTTGTATTTTCCTCATATCTCCTGCATTTATTAATTACAATTCTCCTGAATGGCAGAAGTATCTCTTCCCCCCATTCATTTATGTATTTATTCATTCATTTATTTATTTATATTGATATGTATGGAGTGATGGATATTTATTTTATTCCACTAGTTTAGAATCAAATACGATCATTATTTTCCTGGTCAAATTGTTCCAACTTTGGCCATTGGAAACCCTTTAGGTGGGGTCTTGTATGCTTTTGATCCTGTCATTGGGGAGTAGCTGTTGTTGTTTTGAGTCCTTCCTTATTTTGTGACATCACAAGATTTTCCTGCTCAATTAGATTTTCCCCAACTCAGTCCTAGAATCAAGCACTTTTCCAAGGAACTCTATGAACCAAGACCTTCTGATGTAAAACTCTTGTGCTCCTTCCATTGGCTCACGTTATATCTAAAACAATTTAGACTTGAACCCTTTACAAAGTTTTTCAAAAATATACTGCAAATACAGGTGGAGTTCATACTTGTTGAGTTTGTTCTAGTCGTCAAACATTGTTTATGTTACTCCCAGTGCTCCTCCGTCCACCCTATTTGTACCACCAGGATGATCCAGACATGAGGAAGATGAGAAGATATGGAAGTGGATTAAAGTGTAGACAAGGGTATGGATGTAAACAGAGGTGATGTGGATACAGATGATGACATGGATAGCGAGGCTGTGAGAATTCCTAGATGGAACTCAAATATACACACGTAAATTCTTTTTTCTTCATCACTATGCAAATAAAAACTAGAAGGCCTTTAAAAGCAAGTCCAGAATTTCTGAACTTTAAATTTTTCTGGCTCTTCTTGACTCTGCCTATAGAGAAAGTGCTCTTCATGACTTCAACTTTTCTTCTTTCTCTCTCCCCACCTCAAGTTGCCTCCGTCAGCTGTCTGGGCTGGTTTACGGGGTCATGGCAAATGTCCTTCTTGATGAATCTCACGCACTCACTGGATGTATATTATTATATGCCTTGTATTAGGGATGAATAAAATTAAACACATGGATGTCAGATGAGAACAGAGTTAAATTCACAGAAATTAAGAGAAAGACTGGAAACAAACAAAAAAAAACCCCTCTAGATTTCCAATCTTTGCATAAATAATAGGACTTCACACACACACACACAAAATCCTAGAAAAACTATTCCAAATAGATGAGTATGAAATATCTGCAGTAAGTCCTATCTTCCATTTCAGAATCTAAGAACACTTGAGAGTAACAACTGCACGGTTTCCTGGGGTATGTTATGAGCACAAGATTGTTTTTCTGCCTTATGAATAGTAATTCTATATATTTTCTGTAAAGGTGACACTATACTTTTTCTATGTACTTGTCGGGGTGTGTGCATGTATGTGCATGGTGTGTGTGTAAGACAGAGATAGAGGAAAGGGGGAAAGAGAGAGAGATAATGTACTAGTTTCTTATTTTTACAGGAAATTTAATACGTGTCAGTACAAATCTAGACTGAGACTGACTCATTTGGCAGGAAGAATACGTTTACATGCAAGAGTAAAAACAGAATGGGGTGAGATCTCAAGAAAAGGGAGTGAGAAGGCAGTTTACAATTTAAGATATGAATAGAGATGCCTTATTAAAATTATTTTCGGCCAGGTAGGGAGGCGTTGGCTCACGCTTGTAATCCCAGCACTTTGGGAGGCCAAGACAGGCTGATCCCGACATCAGGAGATCGAGACCATCCTGGCTAACACGGTGAAACTCCATCTCTACTAAAAATACAAAAGAAATTAGCCGGGTGTCGTGGCAAGCGCCTGTTGTCCCAGCTACTCCGGAGGTTGAGGCAGGAGAGTGGTGTGAACCCAGGAAGGGGAGCTTGCAGTGAGCCAAGATCGCGCCACTGCACTCCAGCCTACACAACAGAGAGAGACTCCGTCTCAAAAAAAAAAAACAAAAAACTCCACTGTTAGATATTTACCCAAGAGAAACAAAAGCATATGTCCACAGAAAGACTTGTGCTTAAATATTCATAGGACTTTATTCTTAATAGCCCCAAGTTGTAAACAATCCAAATTCTGGCAGCAGAAGAATGGATAAACAAAGTGTGCTATACAGTACAGTGTACTATTAGTCCACAAAGCAAGAGAACCTTGAATACATGCAACAACGTGAGCCTTGCATCCTTTTCTAATGGAGTTGTATAAAAAGGAGCCGGTCCTAGGAGAGCTGCTGCTTCTTGTTAGTGTATTTGTCACCCTTGGTTCCTAGTAAGCAACTTCTTAAAGGACTCAGATTTCCTGAGTTTGAGAGCCTACCAGACTGACACAAGGGAGGAGAGAATCCTATTTGCAACATAGAGGAGATAGCAGCTGACAAGGAGTAGTGAAGCCCTGGGGAAAGAATGGAACTAATGGAACATGGACTTGTCCCTCACACTCCTGAGCTCTGTCAACATATGAGGTTGGTGCTAAAACACAAACACAAGCACGCCACCTCATTGGATGCTGCTCTTCCTTAGGCCCGCAGCTACTTGCCTGTATCTCATGGACGGGAAACACTAGCATGATGGCTGAAAGGAAAGACGTGATGGAGAGATCCAGGAAGTGGGCCATAGATGGGATTAGAGGGGTGACTGCCTACACAGTGGAGTTGAATTTAAAGGAAATTCACCCACAAAAGGCTGTCATGCATTGATCAGCTCTGGTGGTAGAGAGTTTTGGTTAACTCTTGAGTCAGTGAGTCTCGGATAGGTGTAAAGTGTGTGCTGCAATCATAGAAAGTATAATGTGTAGGGTAAATGGCATGGCAGATTCCAAAGAACGAAACACATACATGGATTCTGTAGGGTAGAGCAGTTTACAGGTTGAAAAGTAATTGGAAGGCCAGGTGCATTGGCTCACACCTGTGGTCCCAGTGCTTTGGGAGGGCAAGTCGGGCGGATCATGAGGTCAGGAGTTCAAGATCAGCCTGGCCAACGTGGTGAAACTGCCATCTTTACTAAAAATACAAAAATTAGCCAGGCATGCTGGTGCGCGCCTTTAGTTCCTGCTACTCAGGAGGCTGAGGCAGGAGAATTACTCGAACCTGGGAGGCCGAGGTTGCAGTGAGCGGAGATCGCGCCACTGCACTGCAGCCTGGCCAACAGAGCGAGACTGTCTAAAAAAAAAAAATTATTTTCAATTTCTCCTAGTCATGTTGAATTTTTATCCTGACCTCCACACTGCTTGTTTCAAACTATCTAGAAAATGTTCTGCCTTTTGATCCCAACAATCATTGAGCCATTAAGTCTAACATATTCTACCTTCTCTACATCTTGTACACTTACCTCCTCCTTTATCCCCACAGGTACCCACCTGATCTCGACTCACTGCCACCTCTGCCTCCCGGGTTCAAGAGATTCTCCTGCCTCAGCCTCCTGAGTAGCTGGGATTACAGGTGCGTGCCACCAAGCCCAGCTAATTTTTGTATTTTTAGTAGAGATGGGGTTTCACCATGTTGGTCAGGACCTGACCTTGTGAACTGCCCACCTCGGCCTTCCAAAGTGCTGGGATTACAGGCGTGATCCATGGCGCCTGGCCTTATTTTTGTTTTTGTTTTTGTTTCCTTCAAGTGAACTCCCTCACCAAGTGTTGTCTGTCTTATTCTCATTTGGGACTGCCTCTGAATTATTCATCCCTTGAAACTCATCCCAAGCACTTTCTCTTACTCAATAAGAGCCAGCCGTTTCTCTCCTGGTGCAGCTAGCAAATCTTGGGTTAACCCATGCTATAATTCTGCCCTGAATGTATTCTAATTAATAGTTTACATACTTCTCTCCACTACTCGTCTGGAGGCTGTGAGCTTCTAGAGGAGTGGGGATTGTGTCCTCCTTATTTTTCTATCCCAATGACTAACAGTGTGGGGCAAATTAAGTGTTTGGTCAATGCATAAAAAAATGAACATATAGGCCGGGCGCAGTGGCTCACGCCTGTAATCCCAGCACTTTGGGAGGCCGAGGTGGGGGGATCACGAGGTCAGAGGATCGAGACCATCTTGGCTAACACGATGAAACCCCATCTTAAAAACAAAAACGTATAAGTGGGTGAATAAATTAAGAAATCTACTCAGTAACACTGATGAAATATTAACTAGTAAACTACTCACCATCAGTCCCAGCAAACGTTTCTCCCTGGTGCCAACAATTTTTCACATGGAAGATGGTCTCCCTTAAGATGATGTCTTACAAGCTGTAGTTTCTCTTCGATAAGTAATGTTTTTCAGAATATCAAGGGTTACACTTCCTTTTTGAAGGAATTTGTAGTTCTTGTGCCTCATATCTCCATCTAGCGAAGCAAATTGGTAATATACCAATTAAGATATTTGTGTGTGAATATAAGAAACACAGTTGTGAAAAAAATTATTTATAGAAAACTACCCTTCCTTGTGGCTCACGCCTGTAATCCCATCACTTTGTCAGGCCGAGGCCGGCAGATCACAAGGTCGGGAGATCAAGATCATCCTGGCAAACACGGTGAAACCCCATCTCTACTAAAAATATGAAAAATTAGCTGGGAGTCGTGGCGGGCGCCTGTAGTCCCAACTACTCAGGAGGCTAAAGTAGGAGAATGGTGTGAACCCGGGAGGCGGAGCTTGCAGTGAGCCAAGATCGTGCCACTGCACCCCAGCCTGGACGACAGAGTGAGACTCTGTATGAAAAAAAAAAGAAAATTACCCTTCCTTTTCCAAGGTTCAAAAACCTTGAATTGTATCTACTTTATATTTTCTGGAGTTCAGCAAGTTCTTTCTTTCCCAAATAGCCTATTTCTAAATATCTGGACCATGTAATGCTATTGGAAAATATATGGGTGTATAAAAAACTTATGATTAGCTTGTCTTTCACCACTTTTAAATCAAAGAACCATTGGTATTTGTTAACACGAATGTTATTTAGATATGCTATAGAATAATATGAATAAAATTTTTGTAAATTATGCTAACAATCCTACCAATTTAACAAATATTTATAGAGGATTTTTTATTTTTTGTTTTGTTTTGTTTTGAGATGGAGTCTCGCTCTGTCACCCAGGTTGGAGTGTAATGGCGTGCTCTCGGCTCACTACAACCTCCACCTCCCGGGTTCAAGTGATTCTCCTGCCTCAGCCTCCTGAGTAGCTGGGATTACAGGTGTCCCCCACTACGCCTGGCTAATTTTTGTATTTTTAGCAGAGATGGGGTTTCACCATGTTGGTCAGGCTGGTCTCGAACTCCTGACCTCATGAACCTTCTGCCTCAGCCTCCCAAAGTGCTGGGATTACAGGCGTGAGCCCCTGTGTCCGGCCTCATTTTTGTTTTTGTTTTTGTGTCCTTCAACTTTTTTTTAAGTTCTGGGGTACATGTGCAGGATGTGCAGGTTCGTTACATAGGTAAATGTGTGCCATGGTGGTTTGCTGCACAGATCAACCCATCACCTTGGTATTAAGCCCAGCATCCATTGGCTATTCTTCCTGATGCTCTCCCTCCCCCTATCAGGCCCTCCCCGCAACAGGCCTCAGTGTGTTTTGTTGCGTGCCATGTGTCCATGTGATCTCATCATTCAGCACCCACTTATACGTGAGAACATGCGGTGATTTTTCTGTTCCTGTGTTAGTTTGCTGAAGATAACAGCTTCCAGCTCCATCTGTGTCCCTACAAAGGACATGATCTCATTCCTTTTTATGGTTGCATACTATTCCATGGTGTATATGTACCACGTTGTCTTTATCCAGTCCATCATTGATAGGCATTTGGGTTGATTCCATGTCTTTGCTATTGTGAATAGTGCTGCAATAAACATACAGGTGCATGTATATTTATAACAGAGTGATTTATATTCCTCTGGGTATATACCCAGTAATGGGATTGCTGTGTCAAATGGCATATCTGCCTCTAGATCGTTGAGGAATTGCCATACTGTCTTCCACAATGGTTGAACTAATTTACATTCCCATCAACAGTGTAAAAGTGTTCCTTTTTCTCTGCAACCTTGCCAGTATCTGTTGTTTCTGAACTTTCTAATAATTGCCATTCTGACTGGCATGAGATGGTATCTCATTGTGGTTTTGATTTGCCTTTCTCTAAAGATCAGTGATATTAAGCTTTTTTTCATACGTTTGTTGGCTACATGAATGCCTTCTTTTGAGAAGTGTCTGTTCATGTTTTTTGTCTTTTTTTTTTTTTTTTCTTTTTTTTGAGACAGAGTTTCATTCTGTCACCCAGGCTGGAGTTCAGTGGTGCGATCTCGGCTCACTGCAAGCTCCGCCTCCCTGGTTCATGCCATTCTCCTGCCTCAGCCTCCCGAGTAGCTGGGACTACAGGCACCTGCCACCACGCCCGGCTAATTTTGTGTATTTTTAGTAGAGACGAGGTTTCACCGTGTTAGCCAGGATGGTCTCGATCTCCTGACCTCGCGATCCGCCCACCTCGGCCTCCCAAAGTGCTAGGATTATAGGCATGAGCAACCGCGCCCAGCCTCTTCGCCTACTTTTTAATGCGGTTGTTTGTTTTTTTTTCTTGTAAATTTGCTTAAGTTCCTTATAGATTCTATATATTAGGCCTTTGTCAGATAGATAGATTGCAAAAATTGTCTCCCATTCTGTAGGTTGTCTGTTCACTCTGATGATAGTTTCTTTTGCTATGCAGATGCTCTTAAGTTTAATTAGATCCCATTTACCAATTTTTGCTTTGGTTGCAATTGCTTTTGGCGTTTTTGTCATGAAATCCTTACCCGTGCCTATGTTCTAAATGGTATTGACTCAGCAATACTCAGCCTCAGCCCAGTTCTGTACCCCTGCTGGAGAGGTGTTGCGGTCATTTGGAGGAGAAGAGACACTCTGGCTGTTGTGTGGTCTCCCTGATGTCCTGGAATGTCCTGGCCAATTGAGTGATGGTTTTTCTCTCCAGTGCATCCTCCCTGACCAGCCAGCTCTTCCCTCCCCAGCTCTTGCCCTGCAGTGACTCTGAAAGCTTGTTGTTCCATTTACTGCTTACACTCACTTCATTTCATAGAGTAAAAGGTGCTTCTCAAACATAAGTTTACGTTATTTGTCTTCAGCTCCCCCTGTATTCTCTCACCATGTCTTCAGCGTGGAGAAGTAGGAACCTAAACGTGGGAAGTGAACATCAAAATATGTCACGATCACAGTGTGCTTCAAGGTAAATACCACTTCAGCACGATATCCATTTTTATAAAGCTTAAAAATAACTATCACAAAGTAATATATTTTCAGATATATCTATATTTACATCTACATCTCCCCTCTCTATACATAGATACATATCCAGACTATAAAGAAAAGCACAGGGATTATGAACATAACCTTCAGAAGAGTGGTCACCTCTGTTGCGAAGCAAGGGGACTGTAGAAATTCCAGCAGTCCTGTAGCTTTCACAGGACTAGAAATGTTTCATTCTGCATGAGGTCATGGGTTTATGGATGTTATTTAATTGTTATGCTTCATAACTTAGATGTACTTCCCATGTTGAGAATATCTCCTATAGAAACAAAGCACTTGTATTTAAAATGTGTAAAAATAAAGGGAAAATAAAATGAAGAAATATAGTTACTACATAAGCTTCATGTATGTTCTACTTACGCATGCTTATCTAAGTGTGATACTTACTTTTTTATAAAAGCCAAGTTTAAAGATTAAATATTATGAGCATTATCATATAATACACAATAAAAATAATTTATGTGTTAAAACTAGTTTTTTAAAAAAACTTTAAGCAATATAACAAGCACATTGTTCAGTTAAAAACAATTACATGTGCATAAATATAATAAGGTATATTATGCTTGTTGAATTATGAATATTGAATATGAAAGGGTGGAGAAAGTCTGGTAGCATAAAAAATAAGTAAATTATAATGCTTTCATATGAGGATTTAAGAAAGTTCAAGGGCATGGGGGCTCATGCCTATAATCCCAGCACTGTTGGAGGCTGAGGTGGGCAGATTGCTTGAGCCCAGGAGTTCAAGATGGGTTTCACCATATTGGCCAGGATTGTCTTGATATCTTTATCTCAGCTGATCCACCTGCCTCAGCCTCCGAAAGTGCTGGGATCACAGGCATGAGCCACCGTGCCTGGCCTTATTTAAGACTTACTAAAGGCTGGGCACAGTGGCTCATGCCTGTGATCCCAGCACTTTCGGAGGCAAAGGCGGGGAGATCGCTTGAGTTCAGGAGTTTGAGACCAGCCTGGCCAACACACTGAAACCTCATCTCTACTAAAAATACAAAAATTAGCACAGTGTGGTGATGTGCGTGTGTAATCCCAGCTACCAGGGAGGCTGAGGTGAGAGACTTGCTTGAGCCCAGGAAGCAGAGGTTGCAGGGACCCAAGATAGTGCCAATGCATTCCAGCCTGAGAGACAGACTGAGACCCTGTCTCAAAAAAAAAAAAGTCTTACTATAGAGGTATAGTAATCTATATGTATGATACTAGCATAATAGTAGACAAAGAAGCCAATAGAACAGAATAGAAATCAGAATGATGCCCATATATATATATATATATATATATAGTATTTCTTTATACTAGCAAGAGACAATTGAGAAATGAAATAAAAATACCATTTGAAATAACATCAAATACATAGACCTATTTATTAAAAAATCATAAATGCATATAAATGAAAAAATATGCCATGGTTACGGGTTGGAAGACTCAAGTTTGTTGGGTGACAGAGTGAGACCCTCAAAAAAAATTTACTATAGAGGTATAGTAATCCATATGGTATGGTATTAGCATAATAGTTGAAAAAGAAGCCAACAGAACAGAGACCAGACTATACATATATTTTATATATATATGCCCATATATATACATAGTCAATTATTAGTGAAATGGTGTTAAGGCAATTAGTTCAAGGGGGAAAAAGTCTTTCCAATAGGTGGTGCTTTTACAATTGGATAAACATATGCAAAATAGAAAAGAAATAAAGAAACCGGACCCCTCCCTTACACTATACACAAAAATAAATTTGATATGAATCATATATCTAAGCCAGTTTTTCTCAACTGTTCTTGCATTATCACTTTCCCTCATTAGGAGCATTTTAAGACATATTCTTTCTCTAATCACTCCTGGCTCCACCATAGCCAAAATAAAGAAAAATAGATTGTCTTTAGTTTGGATTCCCACAGAAGTGGACTCTGTGAGACAAGGATTTAAAATACCCGTAGGGAAGTGGAAACCAGACAGGGAGGGGAAGGCAACAGATACAGGCCATATTATCAAGCATGTCATCACCAGTGCCAGCTGGAGCTTACTCCCACTGGGAGCTCTGACAGCAAGTGTAGAGCATGTGCTTCAGAGTCTTCCTGTCCCAAGGTCAAGGGAGCTAGGGTATGCATAAACCACGGCGCATCAGTCATTGGTTGAGATCTCTGCTCAGGACTTATTAATCCCCTTCCCTTCTGGCCTGTTTTAAGTGAGGACCTAAAAGGTTCTGATGGCCAGGGAAACCCTCAGGTAGAGTTTAAGGTGCAGGTGTGAACTGAAATAGGGAAGCTTGAGTGCAAATGGATGGCCACCAACAGCTTCTGCTACAAATACCAAGTGTGAGCCGGGATGTGGAGTACTGGAAACTCTGACACTGGCACGATCACTTTGGAAGAACTGTTTGTTATTTAGGCTGAACATATGTATACCCTCTGGTCCAGTAATTCCACTCCTAACTCTACATCCATTAGAAGCGGAACACAAGCTCATGAAACGATATGTATAAATGTTCATAAAAGCACTATTCTTAATAGCAAAAAATCAATAATTCCCAAATGTTCATTAACAGTAGAATGAATAAATACAATGTCTTCCATTTATACAGTGGGAAACTCTACAGCAATGAGTTTGAATGAACTAAAACTATATGCATCAAAGTGGTTGAATCTCATGAGCATAATTGAGTGAAAGAAGGTACAGAAGAGTATACTGAATAATTCAACTCCTAAATTTCCAAACTGGCATGATGAATTATCCTATTAGAAATCAGAAGTAAGTCAGGCAGTGGTTACCCTCAGGAGGGCGGTAACTGGAAGGAGGCTTCTAGGTACTGGTAATGTTTTGCTCTTTGGTCTGAGTACTGGCTATGAGTACTGAGTACATATTGTACTGTATATTCACACTGTGAATGCTCATTGAACTTTATACTTGTGATTTGTGCACTTTTCTGTATGTTTCTTACACCTCAACCAAAATGTTACACCTCAAAGAGGTCAACACTGGCCTTTATCGCCTACCTCTCCACATCATAAAAAGTGTGATTAAGGCAGGATGCGGTGTCTAACGCCTGTAATCCCAGCACTTTGGGAGGCTGAGGCAGGTGGATCACGAGGTCAGGATTTCGAGACCAGTCTGAACACTACGATGAAACCCTGTCTCTACTAAAAATACAAAAATTAGTTGGGTGTGGTGGCATGTGTCTGTAATCCCAGCTACTCAGGAGGCTGAGGCAGGACAATCACTTGAGCTGAGATCGCACCACTGTATTCCAGCCTGGGTGACAGAGTGAGACTCTGTCTCAAAAAGAAAAGAAAAAAAAAAAGTGTGATTAAATAGACTGATCAATGAAACAGAACTGAATGTCTATAAATCGATCCTAATACATGAGGCTCTTTACACAATGATAAAGGTGGCTTTTCAAATTAGTGATAAATAGAAAATTCAACAAATGGTGTTGGGATAAATGAGCAGTCATTTGGAACAAAAATTAGTTTAGCTTTACTTTATATCTTACACCAAGATATATTTCAGATGAACAAAAGATTATTACTATTTTTTTAAGAGACAGGATCTTGCTTTGTCATCCAGGCTGCTGGAGTCCAGAGACACACTACAGTCTTGAACTCCTAGACTCAAGTGATCCTCTCTCCTCAGTCTCCTGAGTAGCTGGGACTACAGGTGTGCGTCACCATACCTGGTGAATTCCTAGGTTTTTTTTTTTTTTTTTTGGTAGAAACTGGGTCTCACTCTGTTGCCGAGGCTGGTCTGGAACTACGGGAATCAGGTGATCCTCCAATCTCGGCTCTCAAAGCATTAGGATTGCAGGTGTGAGCCATTGTGCCAGGCCCAAAAGATTTAAATTTTAAAATAAAACAATAAAATGAGTCAAAGAAACATTAAGAATAATTTTCATAACTTTACAGTTTTTAAAAAGCACAATATAGCAAAAGACTTCCTAAAAATAGAAGACTGATGAATTAAATCGTTTAAAAATACGTGGCAAAATCCACAACAAATAAAAAGTTAGACAACAATTGGGAAAAATATTTCCAATTCATAATGCATATAGACAGCTAACATCACCAGTGTAAAAGAGCTCTTTCAGATCAATAAGGAAAAGATGAATAAGCCAACAGAAACATGGACAAAAGTATATAAAACAGTTCATTGAAAAGACAGAAAAGTGACTCAAGGCCAGGTGCGGTGGCTCATGCCTGTAATCCCAGTACTTTGGGAGACCGAGGAGTTCGAGAGCAGCCTGACCAACATGGCAAAACCCTGTCTCTACTAAAAATACAACAGTTAGCTGGGCGCGGTGGCCCAAGCCTGTAGTCCCAGCTACTCGGGAGGCTGAGGCAGGAGAATGGCTTAAACCCGGGAGGCAGAGGTTGCAGTGAGCCAAGATCACCTCACTGCACTCCAGCCTAGGTGATAGACAGAGACTCCGTCTCAAAAAAAAAAAAAAAAAAAGTGACTCAAATGTGAAAAGATGCTCAACCTTACTCATGATGAATAAAATAAAAATAAAAGCTACAGATATATCATTCCTGTAGTACTGGAGTATACCAGTATTATAGTACTGGAGTACACCAGTACACCAGGTATTACAAAAATATTTTGAAATACAGTCAGTTGGCAAGAGTATGGGGAAGCAGATACTTCCTTACGTTGCTAGTGAATAAAAGTTGGTGAAATCTTTCTGGGCAACAGTTTACTGAAATGCAAGATCTATTAATATTACAGATGAATATATCATCTGAACACATCATTTAATCCAATAATTTTACTTTGGGAATATGTCTTACAAACATATTAGAACATAAGTAAAATTACACACACACACACGAGTTATTAATCTCGTTTTGAATAGCAAAAAATTGGACCAAAAATCCTAATATCTATCAATAGAAAATTGGTAAATAAAATGCAGCCATCCAAAAGAATAAAAAACATTTTTTAAAGAAATATGGAACAATTTCAAGTGACAAAAGCAATGTGTAGGAGGTGTATAATATTATATAGTACCTATCATTTATATTTTTTAAAAGGTAAAAAATACAGTTTATAGACTTCTAAATAAATAAAATTAACAGTAGAACTATAAATTGAATTCATAAAATATAAGTGAATAGTAAAGGGTTGACTCAGCAGCTATGGGATTGCATGCCTCCAAGAAAAGACTGACTCTTGACCAACTATTAGCTCTTGAAATATCCTGCCTGATAAGAGTGTCTTCGTATACCTCAGGCCTTGGGCAATGCCAGAGTTTGTGTTAATAATGTAATTTATGGTGAGCACCTGTTTTTGCTTCCCTGGAGCCGTGGGTCATATTGTATGAGTTCGACTTCGTAGGGAGGAATGGGTTGGAGACTGAGTATTTAGGGTCAATAGTGTGGGGGCTTCATGCCTATGTAGCTGATCTTGGACACAAAAGTTTGTGTGAGCATCCCTGGTTGACAATTCTTTGTCCATATTGTCACACATCATTGCTGGGAGAATTAAGTTCTGTTCATATAACTCCACAGGGAGAGGATAACTGGAAGCTGTGCCTGGTTCTGCCTGGACTCTGCTCTATGTGCCTTTTTTCTTCCGAATGTATTCTACAGCCTTTCATCGTAATAAATCATAACCATGAATAGAACAGCTTGTCTGAGTTCTGTGAGTCCTTCTAGCTCATTATTGAATACGGTGGCGGCATTGGGTCCCTCAACACACTAGATAATTAGAGAGGCATTTATTTTTTTCAGATGCTGGCATTGAAAAGGAATAAAGACTACTTAATGAGCTAAGTATTTAGTTTAAGATGTTAGATAAAGGGCAGCAGAATAAAGTTAAAGAAAGTAGAAGGGGCTGTCTGGCTGTTTACCATCACACTTTGCTGCCTCTCTTGGACAATCTATAGACAAGGTTAATAAAACAGTGCAACAAGTTTTCTGAATGCAGAATTGATATACAAAAAAAGATTGCATTCCTATATACCAGCAACAACAACTCAGAAAACATAATTTTAAAAGCAACATTACTAAAAATAATAACATAATCGTTATGGAATCCTAAAGATGTCAATTCTCCCAAAATTAATTCATAAACGATGCAATTCCAATAAAAATTCAAGAGGATTTTTTACAATACTGAAGAAGCTAATGTTACAATTCATGAGGAAGAGTCTATGTTTAAAAACAAAGCACCAAAGTGGGAAACTCATTCTACCAGATTTAAATAATTATTAAAAAGTTAAGTTAAACAGTGTAGTATTGGTGCAGAGATAGATGTATAAACTAATGAAATGAAAAAGAGCCTAGAAAGAGTCCAAATAATATATTGAAATATAAACGATAGGCATGGCATCACAACTCAGTGGTAAAAGATGAGAGTATTCAATAAAAGCTGTGAACATTTGTGGCTGTTAATATTATAATAAAAATTAATATTTGGCCCCTGTCCTTAGTTCCTGACACGCAGCTCCTGAAGTCCTTGGAACCTCCAGAGTGATGGCTGAGTTAATCACCAATGGTGAATGGCAATGATTATCAGTGAGGACCAAAGCTGAGTCTGCAGGCTTGGGCCGGAGCGCAGACAATGAGAGGGGCTCTTCCTTTTGAGGCTTGTCATCTATAACTCATTATCACCGGAAGCCAGAGCCTAAATGAGCCTATCAGTTGCCTTTGGATATAGGAACAAGTCTGAGTATTTATCTGTTTTGAGTTCGGGGCCCCTGTGTGTCCGCTCACTGCCTGTCCGCCGTTCAGCTTGTGCTTGATGCTCGCTAACCATTTAGCAGAAAGAAGAAATCACCGGAGGGACCTCCGGGAGGAGGCGGGGCCCAGCGAGCCTGGCGCCGGGGGCGGGGCCTGACGGGAGCTCTGCTCAGGCTTCAATATGGCTGGCTGTTTCTGTTGACTTCGCCTGTGGAAACCGAATTCCACCTCCATAGTTTCCCCAGGATATGAGTTGGGGGCCTAACCTCGCCTCTAAGGGTCAGGCGAGCTTTCTGGATGCTCGAGAAACCTTTCGGCCTGCGCAGTGGGCGGAGCTTGCCCCAATGCCCTGCCATTTCTGTGAGGACCCACAAGGCCCAGGAGGAGCCTCGGAGTCCCCGAGGGCCCTCGCGTCGCCGCCTGGAGAGGGTGCTCGGAGCCCTGCTCGGGAACTGGTCCCCAACGAGGTGTGGAACCCTCTTTGCTGGAACTCCACAGAGAGAGTGGTAATAAGATAATAATAAGACCGACTACTGTTTATTGAACCTCCACTGGTCACTGGCTGTCAGGGCTTAGGCGAGGGGTGGAATCTAAGGCCCCGAGTTCCTCTATTACAGCCATGGAGAGCCATTCATACCTGCTTAATAGAGTTGTGGTGAGACATGGAATGGGCAAGAAACACACTGATTTATTTATTCATTTTTTAAAATCATTATTATTATTATTTTGAGATGGAGTCTTGTTCTGTCGCCCAGCCTGGAATGCAGTGGCGTGATCTTGGCTCACTGCAACCTCCGCCTCCCGGGTTCAAGCGATTCTCCTGCGGCAACCTCCCAGGTAGCTGGGATTACAGGCGCGCCCCACCATGCCTGGCTAATTTTTGCATTTTTGGTAGAGTTGGGGTTTCATGTTGGCCAGGCTGGTCTCGAACTCCTGATCTCCAGTAATCCACCCGCCTCAGCCTCCCAAAGTGTTGGGATTATAGGTGTGAGCCACCTCACCAGGCCAAGAAAGGCACTTTAGACAGTACCAGAGTTGAGGATTTGGCCTGTGACTCGCTGCAGTTGCCACACTGCAGTTGCCACACTGTGGCCTTAAAACAGTCTTATCCAGTCCTGAAAACCCCAGTGCCTTGGAAACATCAGGATTGGTCAGAAGGACAGTAAGTCCTTAAGGCGCCAGCCCCTGCTCCTCCCTCCAGATTGAGGGGTAAGTATCCCAAGCTCTTTGCAGGATCCTTACCCTGGATGTGGACACCCACAGTCCTGCTAGGACCTGCTTTCAGAACAGTTGATCCCAGACATGGAAGTGCCTGATGCCTTCAGCGAAGCAAGCAGGAAAGGCTCAAGTGATGCTCCTGTATCATCCTGGTGAGTAGCCCATTTGTGATCTCCTATGCACTCTTTCATGTAGCATGTTTTCAAGGTTCATCCAACTTGCAGTGTATTAGTGCTGACTAATATTTCATTGTGTAGATATAATGTATTTTTAAACTTTTGTTTATTTTTAATTGGTACACAACAAATATTTGTACATATTTATGGGGTACATATGTACATGTGATATGTTACATGCATAGAATATGTAATGATCAATCAGGGTATTTAAGGTATCTATCACTGAGTATTTGTCATTTCCATATGTTGGGAACATTTCGAGTCTTCTCTTATAGCTGTTTCGAAATACACAATACATTGTGTTAACTGTAGTCACCCTACTCTGCTATAGAACATTAGAACTTACTCCTTCTATCTAACTGTATTAACCAACCACTCTTCCCTGCCAACCCACACACCGTTCCTAGCCTCTGGTATCTATCTATCCACCATCAACTTTTTTAGCTCCTACATATGTGATAACATGCAACATTTGTCTCTCTGTGCCTGGCTTACTTCACATAGCAATGACTTCCAGTTCCATCCAGGTTGCTGCAAACAACATGATTTCATTCTTGTTTTATGGGTGAATAGTACTTGATTATATGTATCACATTTTCTTTATCCATTTGTCTGTTGATGGACACTTAGTTGGATTCTATATTTTTGCTATTGTGAATGGTGCTGCGGTAAACATGGAAGTACAGGTATCATCCCTTTGATAAACTGGTTTTCTTTCCTTTGGATAAACAGCCAGTAGTGGCATTGCTGGATTGTAGGGTAGCTCTATTTTCAGTTCCTGAGAAATCTCCATACCATTTTCCATAGTGACTGTACTAATTTGCATTCCCACACAACAGTATATAAGAGTTCCCCCTTCTCCGCATCCTCGCCCACATCCATTATTATTTTGTCTTTTTAATCATAGCCATTCTCACTGGGTGAAGATGATATCTCATTGTAGTTTTAATTTGCATTTCCCTTATGATTAGTGACGTTGAGCATTTTTTCATATACCTGTATGTCCTCTTTGGAGAAATATCTATTTATGTCGTTTGCCCACATTCCTTCATTCATTCATTTATTTATTGTAGTCAGGGTTTTGCTCTGTTGTTCAGGCTGGAGTGCGGTGGTGCAATCACGAGTCACTGCAGCCTCCACTTCCTGGGCTCAGATGATTCTCCTGCTTCAGCCTCCAGAGTAGCTGAGACCACAGGCATGTACCACTGTGCCCAGCTAATTTGTGTGTGTGTGTGTGTGTAAATTTTTTTTTTTTTTTGGAGACGGCATGGGAGTGCAGTGGTGAGATCACTGCTCATTCTAGCCTCAATCTCCTGAGCTCAAGTGATCCTTCCACCTCATTTTTTGACTTTTGTAGAGATGATATCTCACTATGTTGCCCAGGCTGGGCTTGAACTCTTGGGCTCAAGTGATCCTACTGCCTTGGCCTCCCCAAATGCTGGGATTACAGGCATGAGCCACCAAACCCAGTCTACTTTTGTATGTTTTTGTAGAGACGGAATTTTACTATGTTACCCAGGCTGGTCTCAAACTCCTGGCCTAGGCGGTCTATCTGCATCAGCCTCCCAAAATGTTAGGATTACAGGCATGAGCCATTGTGCCTGACCCTTTGCCCACTATTAAATGGAATTAGTATTATTTTTTACTGTTGAGGTGTTTGAGTTTCTTGTGTATTCTGGATATTAATTCCTTGTTGGATGAATAGTTTGTAAATATTTTCTCCCATTCAACAGGTTGTCTCTTCAGTCCATTGTTTCCTCTGATGTGCAGAAGCTTTTTAGTTTAATATAGTCCAATTTGAATACTTTTGTTTTTGTTGCCGTGCTTTTGAAGTCTTAGCCATAAAACCTTTTCCTAGACCAGTGTCCTGAAGTGCTTCCCCTATGTTTTCTTCTAGTAGTTTTATGGTTTCAGGGCTTATGTTTAAGTCTTTAATCCATCTCAAATTGATTTTTGTGTATAGCGAAATGTAGGAGGTTTGTCATGTTCTTTTGCATACATATGGATATCCAAATTTCCCAGCACCATTTGTTGAAGAGGATGTCCTTTCCCCAGTGAATGTCCTTGACACCTTTGTGGAAAATCAGTTGGCTGTAAATGTGTGGATCTATTTCTGAGATTTTTATTCTGTTTCATTTGATACCTGTTTTTATACCAATACCATGCTGTTTTGGTCACTAGAGCCTTGTAATATATGTTGACGTCAGATAGTATAATGTCTCCAGCTTTCTTTTTACTTAGGATTGATTCTCTATTCAAGCTCTTTTTTGGTTCCGTATGAATTTTAGGATTATTTTTTCTACTTCTGTAAAGAATGGCACTGGTATTTTGATAGGGATTTTATTGAATCGGTAGATTGCTTTGGGTTGTATGGTCATTTTAACAATATTGATTTTTTTTCTGATCCATGAGCATGGGTTGTCTTTCCATTTCTTTATTCCTTCTCAATTTCTTTCATCTGTGTTCTGTAGTTTTCCTTGTAGAGGTTTTTCACCTACTTGGTTAAATTTTTTTCCTAGGTATTTTATTTTCTTGTAGCTATTATAAATGGGATTTCCTTCTTGATTTCTTTCTCAGCTAGTTTATTATCGGTGTATAGAAATGCTACTACCGTTTGTATGTTGATTTTGTATCCTACAACTTTTTTTTTTTTTTAAACGGGGTCTTGCTCTGTAGTCCAGGCTGGAGTGCAGTGGTGCCATCTTGGCCCACTGCAATGTCTGCCTCCCGGGTTCAAGCAATTCTCCTGTCTCAGCCTCCTGAGTAGCTGGGACTACAGGCGCACGCAACCACGCCTGGCTAAATTTTGTGTTTTTAGTAGAGACAGGGTTTCACCATATTGGTCAGACTGGTCTTGAACTCCTGACCTCGGGTGATTCTCCTGCCTCAGTCTCTCAAAGTGCTGGGATTACACCATAAGCCACCACATCTGTCTGTATCCTACAACTTTACTGAACTCATTTATCAGATCTAAGAGCTTTTGATGGAATCTTTAGGTTTTTCTAGATACAAGATCATGTCATCTACCAAGAGGGACAGTTTTACTTCCTCTTTTCCAATTTGGGTGTCTTTTATTTGTTTCTATTGTCTGATTGCTCTGGCTAAGACTTCCAGAACTGTGTTAAATAGGAGTGGCAAAAATAGACATCCTTGTCTTGTTCCAGTTCTTAGAGGAGAAGCTGAAAGCTATGATAGGATGATGTTAAATGTGGGTTTGTCCTATGTAGCCTTTATTATGTGGAGATATTAATATGGTCCTTCAGTGCCAAGTTTGTTGAGAGTGTTTATCGTGAAGAACTTTTTGATAAAAAAGCATTTTATCAAATGCTTTTTCTATATCTCTTGAAATGATCATATGATTTTGTCCTTTATTCTGTTGATGTGATATGTCATCTTTGTTGATTGGTGTATGTTGAACTACCTTTGCATTTCTGGGAAATCCCACCTGATCCTGGTATGTTATCTTTTTAATATGCTGTTGGATTCAGTTAGTTAGTATTTTGTTGAGGATTTTTACATCTGTGTTTATCAGGGATACTAGAGTGTAACTATCTTTTTTGTTGTTATTGCATTCTTATCTGGTTTTGGTATGAGGGTACTGCTAGCCTAGTAGAATAAGGAAGAATTCCCTCCTTTTCAATTTTTTGGACTAGTTTGAGGAGAACTGGTGTTAGTTTGTCTTTGTAAGTTTGGTAGAATTTGGTAGTGAAGTCATTAGCAGTGAAGCCATTGGGTCCTGGGCTTTTCACCGTTTTGATACTTTTTTATTATGGATTCAATTTCATTACTCACGATTGGTGTGTTCAGGTTTTCTATTTATTCCTGATTCAATCGTGGTAGGTTGTATGTGTAAAGGAATTTATGCATTTCCTCTAAGTTTTCTAGTTTATTAATATATAGTTTTTCATAATAGTGTCTGATGATTTTTAGTATCTCTGTGGTGTCAGTTGTAATGTCTAGTTTTATTCATTTCTTTATTTCTTTATTTTTTGACCCAGGGTCTCACTCTGTCACCCAGGCTGGAGTGCAATAGTGTGATCCTGACTCACTGCAGCCTCAAGCTCCTGGTCCGACGTGATCTTCCCACCTCAGACTTCTGAGTGGCTGGGACTACAAGCATATGCAACCATGCCCAGCTAATTTTTGTATTTTTTTTAGAGACAGAATTCTGCCGTGTTGTCCAGGTTGGTCTCGTACTCCTGAGCTCAAACAATCCACCTGCCTCAGCCTCTCAAAAATGCTGGGATTACAGCATGCGTCACCGTGCCTGGCAATGTCTTCTTTTTCATCTTGGATTTTGTTTATTTGGGCCATCTTTTTTATTTTCTTGTTTAGTCTAACTAGCAGTTTATCGATTTTGTTTACCTTTTTGAGAAACAAACTTTTTGTTTCATTGATTATTTATATTGTTTTTTAAATCTATTTCATTTAGTACTGCTCTGATCTTTATTATGTCTGTCTTTCTACTAATTTGAAGTTTGTTTTGTTCTTACTTTCCTAATTCTTTGACGTATATCCTTAGGTTATTTATTTGAAATCTTTCTACTTTTAAAATATAGGTGTTTATTGCTATAAACCTCTCTCCTAGCACTGCTTTTGTTGTATCCCATAGGTTTTGTTATGTTGTGTTTAAATTTTCATTTGTTTCAAGACATTTTATTTTTTGGGACAAGGTCTCACTCTGTCTGTTGCTCAGGCTGGAATGTAATGGCACAATCTTGGCTCACTGGAACTTCCACCTCCTGGGCTCAAGCGATCCTTCTGCTGGAGCCTTCTGAGTAGCTGAGATTACAGGCACGCACTAGCATACCTGGCTAACTTTTGTATTTTTTTTGTAGAGACAGAATCTCACTATGTTGCCAAGGCCAGTCTCAATCTCCTGGCTCAAGGAATCCACCCACATTGGCCTCCCAAAGTGCAAGGATTACAGGCATGAGCCACCACACCCAGCCTGTTTCAAGACATTTTTTGAT